AGCGGTTCAGTATCTTGCACTTAGCACTCTTTGAGACGAATGGATAGGCTTTAGATGTACATTTTAGTTGCTGTTGCCGTTTGCTGTTTCAAGATGTTGTCTGTTCTCTCGGAGGTCTGCGCTAGGGGCAGCTTGTCCCCATGTGAACCGGGGCAGATGTGAGGGCCTGTGGAAGGAATCCACGGGCATGGAGAGTGGATATGCGCCCTCTCTGCACAGAAAGTAGAGATGGTTACTGCTGGAACGAGCCGTTTGTGAAAACGGTTGTATCAATACTTTTATCCTCAACTCCGCAAGGGTGGTTTAGAGGCAGGATGAAGACCGCCTGACCCGGCCAAAGCAGGGCCTGTTTTGTGCTGTTTGGATCACTGTTACCTACTCTCTCCCCTCCTTCTCACGTTTCCCACCATTTATTTTTCTTGACCTCATTTGTAGGAATCAGACCCTAGGAGATTAGGAAGGACGAAGGGCAGCCACACTAATTGCTACCAACTTGGTTTCCTCACCCCAGATAACTGGTCTTCAAATTCACTTGGTCAGCGATGTCTCCTCCAAGTCAACCTGCCTCCTGTGCCCGTTAAGCCACAGACCCACACCTTGCGTCCCATTCGTGAATCACCTGAGGTGTGTGGAGACGGCAAATGGGGCAGCAGGGACGCCCTGGGGTTCTGCGAGGCTTGGGGTCACCTGCTAAAACTCACCAGAGAATAACCTGGATCAGAGTGCCTGTATATCAGTTTATGATGAGAGGTATCCAACGCTCAGAGGTCAGCACAATTTTTTTCCTTTAATCAAAACCATGGAGGGGAAAATGCCATCCATCAAAGCAGGATGGAAAAACACCAAATTCCTAGTAATGAGTCAAGCAAATGATAAGCAATATCTCCACACAGAAAATATAAAACATTATTTAAAGAAATTAAAGGAGATCCAGATAAATGGAAGGATATGCCATATCATGGACTGGAGGACTCGATATTATTATCATAAAGACATCAGATCAAGTTACAGAATAGCATTAATTAATGACACTGCCGTAAAAACTGAGCAGCTTCTCTGGGAGGAAACTGACAAGCTAATTGGGAATGCAGAGGGCTGAGCAATCCCCTCGGCAGGGCAGTGGGGGGTGTGATTTTCCCTGGGACGTACAATCCCGGAGACAAGACTGCCCGTCGAGCTCAGTGGCTGAGACGTGTGGGGTTGGTGGAAGATGGACAGGTGGACCCACAGGACAGAGCGGAGGTTCAGAGCAGCCGCGGGTTTACAGTGAAGCTGGTGCTGCCGAGAGGTGGGCGGGCGCCGGTCTCGTTAGTAAATGGTGCTTCGTGAACTGGATCCACGTGAACAGCATGAGTCTTGACTCCTACCTCACACCATGCACAGTCAGTGTCGGGTCGTGGTGGAAGGTTCTAGGAGATAACAGGGCAGAGTTAGGAGGTACATGAGGACAGAGTACATAGACAGGACAAAAACTCTAAAACCCTGTCCATGAGGAGAGATTGATGACTCAGGCTGTGTCAGACCCATGAAGAGAGCAGCAGGGGAGGCCAGGTTGCGAAGGGATCCACCCGGGAAAGGGCTCCTGTCCAGAAGGATGAATGCGCTGACGAACCAGCAAGACGGCTCAACGGAAATTCATGAGAAAGACAGAAGCGAGCAACACGCACACCCCTCACATCTAAAAACCAGTAAACATGTGAGAAGATGTTCAGTTTCATTAGTCTTCATGACGTGCTAATTAAAACCATCAAAAGAAACCATGATGCATCCACCACCGTAGCTCAAAGGAAAAAAAAAAAAAAGGGTTGAAAATACCAAAGGTTGGCCAGAACATAAAGCAACTGGAGTTCCACACACTGCCACGACGGAAGTGCGTATTCGTATGCTCACTTTGGACGGCTGTTTGGCCTTTTCCACTGAAGCTGAGGCTCTGCTCACTCCATGACCCACTCATTCCACTCCTGGGTGTGCATCCAACAGAAACGCCCTCGAAGACACAGCAGCAGCCTCTGTAACAGGCTCAGATGGGAACTAACTCAGAGGGCCCAGCAGTGAGTGGATTAATCAGTTGTGGTATGTTCTGACACTGGAATACCACACGGTGGTGGGGCTGAAACACTGCCGTCACACGCACCGGGGGACGTGTCACAACTGTGATGTGACACAGAGGTCACAGCGCTCCATTTACATCCGGTATCAGCCGGCAGTGCGGGGTTCTGCGCCACGACCACCTCTGGGGAGGGTGGAGGGAAGGGGTTCTGAGATGCTGTGGGGGTCCTGATTCCCGACTGGGTGGTGAACCTGCATATTTATGATGTGGGCACTTTTTCAGACTATGCATTATGCCTGAATCACAAAAGTGTATTAGGAAAGCATGGCTATGGGATGTGCCCTTGTAACCATAGAGCTACCAGGTGAGGTGGGAGCCTCTGGTGAGAGGGAGCCTCCAGGTGAGGCTGCCAGCTGCCAGGCGGGTGAGAACCAGAAGGTGCGGCAGGTGCCACCAGGTCTCAGCAGGAGGGAAAGTCAGGTGTGCCCACGTCCACCATGAGTTGGCCCCCAGTCACACCAGACTCCCTGACGCTGGACAGCACTGACCAAGGACCACAATCACTTCTGACCTCAGGGTCCTGTTGTTCTTGTGGAAACAGTGTCTTGGGCTGGGGGGGCGCACGGGGGATAGAGTCCGGCCTTCGAGTTACGATCATACTCATTTTCTACCTTCCTGAGGCTACCCGTTTGATGTCTGGGGGCCACCGTTACAGGAGGAGCCTGTGGAGAGATGCTGCACCTCATCCACTCTGGGTGGGGTTACCTGCTACCTTCTAAGGAGGTAACGTCATTTGTGAAGTCTTGGTCCTTCAGGCACTTTTCCTCCATCTAGTGTTACAGGGATCCAGTTGAGAAATGATGGAAACTCAGAAATGGACCAGTTGAAGAGGTCACAGACAGCACCTGGCGGGCTGGGCTCCCAGGCGGGTAATGAGTGATACCCTTCAGTTAAGAGAGGGTAGTGGGGAGATGTGCTCCAGGCTCGTCATCTGTCGACACTCTGCGGACGTTTTTGTCGACAACAGCAACCGTTGAGTCTAATGAAGCCAGTCTTCGTAGCCCGTGGCAGTGGCCTTTGTGCCCCAGACTGCAGTCTCCCAGCATGGACCTGTGGGTTGGCCTCTGCATTCGGGGCCCGAGCAGGTGGGAGGATCCAGCACCAGAGAGAGGGCTGTGGATTGGTGGGTCCTTGCGGCGTCCTACCAGGGGTGGTGGTCAGGCCTGGAGGTGCTGGCCTGGCCCCCATCTCACCTGGTGGCCCCCAGCTCACTTCACAGGGATGCTTTCTTAATTAACTTTTGTGATTCAAGGATAACAGATAGGCTGGAAAGGGACCAAACATAAACGCACAGCTTGATGAGGTTGGAGTCAACTTGGAAAAGTGGGTATCTTGACCCCAAGCGACGTTTGGTCTCTGAGTCCCCGACCTGCCCCTGAAGGCACCGCCTGGCCTGGGGGGCACCCGCAGTGCGCCCGGCTCTGCGCCTCGTGAGCCGGATGCCTAGTGTCCAGGCCATGTGGTCATGTCCTCCGGGGAGGGGCTTTCTCTTCACAGGTGTGACTTGCCTTTGACAGATGGAAGAGACATTTTCGCAGTTACTAACACTGGAATAAAGTGTGGAGATTCACTCAGGGTAAGGCTAAAATGACTGTTGCCATGTTCCAGACGGACGTGATGCACCAAAATATTTACGACTACATCCACGTGGACGACCGCCAGGACTTCTGCCGGCAGCTGCACTGGGCCATGGACCCTCCCCAGGCTGGGTGTGGGCAGAACCTGCTCTCAGAGACAGGTGGGTCTTGGGGGGACCCTGGTCTAACTCAGACACGGATCGCCCCCTTTCCTTCCCATCCGGTTGGTGCGGTGTGGATGCCCCGCCCCGCCCTCCTCCGGCCCCACGTGGCTCCCTGGCTCCCGAGTGCCCCTGCGTCTTGGGCTGCTGCTCTGTGGCCCCCCCCCCCGGGGCATGGCGGGAGGCCGAGAAGCCACGATACTTGTCTCTGG